GATGCTTACTTAGAGTAGTTAATTGCCTTTGGCTGAACATGTGTACGGGTCACTGCAGATGCTGGAGGAAGGGCAAGAAGCTGGCTCGTAGGGATATTTAGGGTTCAAACAAACGGGCCAGGGTGGAGTGGGGGTGCAGGGGGGTGGGGTGGTTCTGGGCATGTGCGAGAGAACTGCATGACTGTCTCAGGGAAACTGCAGTTTGGAAAAAGGGAAGCTTAGAGATGGGCAACCAGAGCTGATGCCAGAGAGTTAGGCAGGGGCCAGAGATGAAAGTCCTTGTGTGCTAAGCCAGAGTTTGAACTTGAACTTGACAGCTATGGGGAGACACTTGGAGGGCTTTCAGTGAAGAAGTAATATAGTGCTATTTGCATTTCCTGAAAATCACTGTCAGAATGTGGAGGGTGCACTGGAAAGGGGCAAGACAAAAGCCAGACAGAAGGATCCTTAAAAGACTCTTAGTGTTGTAATTGAGCCAGGAAAGGGGAGGTTCTGCGTTGAGCACTACTAGAGGAGGGGCCGGGGCGGGGGGACGGGGAGCAGATCCTTGAGATTGTAGGTGACACAGAAGAAAGGACTCAGAGACAGATCAAAAGTGCCTGGCAAAGGACAGGAGGAGCCTGGGCTGATTCCCAAGTGTTCGGGTTTTTGAAGTCTCCTTTTGAACACAAATGCCTACCCCAATACCAAGTGCTGCCTAGCACAGTTTAGCTGTTGCTACTCAAAGAAGATGCTTCATGAAATAAATCAAAATGATACTTGCTTTTATAGTAAGGAGGGGCAACATCCTGCACCTGGATTATCACGGTGTACTTATTGCCGGCTGCTAGATTACTTGAATTTTCATAATCCAGGTCACCAATCAACTAGGTTAAAACAGAGATAACATATCATATCATATCATATCACACAGAATAAACAATCCTTTTAATTAAACTGACAGAGACATTTTCATGTACTGTTAGTGGATATATAAATTGCAAAACCTTCTCTGCAAAGCATTTTGCTGTAAGAGGAGCTTTAACAGGTTACATCCATACCTTTGCTCACTGCTAGAGAATTTATTCAAAAGAATTTATCGGGAGAATCAATGTTGAAAACGTTCATCAAGCACTAGTGCCCAACAGCATAAGCTCAAGACTTCAGGTTACTTGAAGAGAAGCACGATATAGAATCCTATAGGCAGGGATATTTCCATCATTTAAAAGATTTATGCATATATGTATGGCATATTCATAAAAATGTATGCATAGGAAAGAAGACAAGTGGGTATCACATCACAATGTTAATAGTGGTTCTCACTACTGAGAATGCTGTTCTGTGTTTTCTACATTCTACAGTGAAGACGTATTAATTTCCTAAACAGAAGAAATAGAAATTATTTTTTAGCTGACATGTGTGCATAAAATTGGTACGACTTTCTTGGGGGTGGAAGAAGGGCTTGGGGTGGGACGTGGTGAGAGAATGCCTGCTGGGCTGCTGGTTCTCCCTGAGGCTCTCCATCCCTGATGCAAAGACCTCCTCCCACACCCCACTCCCAGAACCCCCACTCTGAGACCCCCCACTCCCTGAACCCCACTCCCAGACCCCCCCACTCCTGACCCCCCTGCCTTTTCACTTCCCTCTCCTCCTTCCCTATCAACCTCCATTGGGAACCCTGTAGGTAAAGGTCTCCACAGCTCATTGGGACCTGCCTTTCATGTCTTCCAGTTCTGCTTGTTTGCCTCTGTAGAGCTGCTGTGGAGGGGGGCAGCTACACACTGGCACCCCCTCATTCTCCACTGGGTCTCCAGTGGTTCCACAGCCGGGGCGCTGGACTACCTTTCTCTCACTTAACACCTCTCTGGGCCAGAGATGAGCCCTCGGGTAAACAAAAGCACTTGAGCCCAGAGGGCACTGACATGGCCGTGAGGGGCACACGGAACAGGCACGCCAACTGCAAGCTTTGCAGGAAAGAATCCAGTCCTTAGCACCCAGGCACAACTATGCATAACAAATGATTCCCGGAACTTGGGTAAAATAAAGAGCACATGGGGAAAACAGAGTCACTATTATGTTGGTCAGTTACAGTCGCTTTGAGAGGGAGTTACCCTGGAAATTTCCCTCTACAGGGCAGCAAAAGCTCTATGCATGTTACACCAGCTTCCCCGATGCCCTTTCAGTGATGCAATGACCATTAACTGACCACGATTTTCCCAGAGCCTGCTGGATCCTGTGAAAATCTGCCGCTGCTCCCCACTCCAGATGGCGTGGTGAAGTTGAATTGGTTGTTTGGTGCTTTGCTGTCATCATCAAAGCAGAACTTGTTCAGGTCCAGAAGCAACGTCCCCTTGGCCGCTCTTTCAGGCACCATAATGCTGCGGAAAAGACACGATTCAATATTTCCCCCAACAAACGGTGATTGAGTGTTTCTCCTGACATAGGCCCTAGGCTAGACACCTCTGCTTTAATTTCAGTTCAAAGCTAGTCCACGGTGACTGCAGTCACCGCCTAATGGGTTCCCTGCTCTGCCCTTGCCTCCTTTCAGACTCTTCTTAACACTGCAACCAGACGGATCCTGTTAAAACATTGTCAGGTCACGCCACTCTTCTGCTCCTAAATCCCAAATGGCTTCTATTTCACTCAAAGTCCTCACTTTGATCGAGGGGGCTCTTCGTGATGTGCGCGCCCTGCCTCGCCTTACCCTCTGAACTCCTCTCCGGCTGCAATGCTCCCTGTTGGCTCCCCCCACCGCGCTTCCCGGTGCTCCTAGAACTCTCCCCTGGTGCTCCCGGAAGTTTGGCCTCAGGGCATCCCCAACTGTGCAATGCTCTCCCCACAAACGCCCACCCAGCTTGCTCTTTCACTTTCTTAAGTCTCCAACCAATGTCTCCTTCTCGGGAGGCCACCCTGGTGCCCTTCTCTCAACGTAAGCCGTTCCCTCCCCTTGTTCCCTCTCCAGCTGCCCCCCCCTTTATTTTAAATTCTTAGCACTTACCCTTTTCCCATCTACTACACAGTTACTTATTTATCCTGTTTATCTCCTGCTTCCCCCCCTGCAATGGAAGCGCCACGAGGACAGAAATCTTTGCTCTGTTCTTGGCACACTTGCTAACGTCCGTTGAATGAGGGAATGGTGACTTAGGAGGCTAACACAGCCGTGAAGAATATAAGAGAAATCCGGAATTCTGCCCTGCCTGCCCGGGGCTTATGACCTGGTTAGGGAAAATCGCTGGGTGCCTGCACTCCTCACCTCCCACGCTTTGAAACTCACAATTTCCGCCACTTGTGTTCTAATGGACTTTGTGTCATAAAAGGGCCCCCTAACATGTTAGTGCCATTCACCCAAGAGAGCTTTATCGAGGGTTGAATTCGGGGGTCCCAATCTCGGGTGACTCCAGTAGCACAAATGAGGAAAGCTGCCCGCACACTCGGAGCCATCTGGTCCAGCCGAGCTCGGTGTGGGAGGCCCCGAGGAAGCGTGATTAACACCTTTAGGCTTCAGTTCATTCAGGGACTTTACTGTGTCTTCAGGTTTCAGGTTTTCCATCTATAATCTAGACATAAATCATGTCAGTTAGCTTTTGCTTCATAATAAACCAGCCCAAAATGTAGTGGCTTAAAAGGAGCCCCTTGTTATTTCTTGCAATACTCAGGACTATCCATGAGTTCTTTGGGCTCTTTTCTGGCTTGGCCCATCTCTGTCGTCTGGCCATCTGGGTGGGGCTGGCTGGTCTAGGATGGCCTCAGTCACATGTCTCGTGGCGGGAGGGCAGTAGGTGTCTGCTTCCTGTCGTCAATAACCCTCCACGAGATGGGTCCAGGCTCTTCGCATGGACATCTCAGGTTCCCAAAAGTAGCAAAAGAGGGAAGTCCCGATGCACACATATCATTTGAGCCTCAGCTGCGTCCCATTTGTGAATGTTCCAGTGGCCAAAGCAACCGACACGGTCAGGTCCAGATCCAAGGAGTAGAAAGAGGAACCCATCTCTTGATGGGAGGAATGGCAGAATCCCATTGTAAAGGGGTGTGGGTGCAGACAGAGAGGAATTTGTGGCTGGTGTGTGGTTTGGTTTGGTTTTTGCTGTCTACCTCAATCATTTCTCTCTTGCAAAAATACACCGTGGCTGCCATGAGACCACGTCTGGAAGACCCTCAACCAAGGAACATAGCTGAACACAGACCCTATGCTGCTGTGCTCTGAAATCCATTGCTTCATATGCAGTGAGTCCATGTACCTGCGGCCGCGAGTCGCAGAGATACTAAGGGAGGCTCATTCCCGTCCAATGACCGTGGACTCTGGCACTAGGACTCCTCGATGCCCTAGCCAAACCTTCCAGAGCCTACACAGCAGGCTAGAACATTTCTGTCCACCCTCCTTCCCTCTTCCCTTTGCTGAGGTCAGAGTTGTGCTGTGGTCTGATGACTCTCCCAGTCTTGTCTAGCTCACCCCATTTTCTCCCCCAGCAGTGTCCCCTAATAAAAGCCTCACACATTTAATCCCGTCTTGGTGTCCTGTACTCAGAACACCAGACTAGCATGTGTTAAGTTCCCTAATCCTCTACACTATCACCTCTCTCTGCAGCTAAACTCTGCTCCCTTCTGTATCCCACATCATCTCTTCATGGCAGCTAACGTGGGCTCTGGGCTCAGCGAAGGCAGAGCAATGCCTGACAGGAAGGAGGGTCTTGGGCTGGGCTGAGAATAACTGGACTTGCTTCCTGGAAAGCGTTTTCTCTGCCAGGTGCCTCTTTGGCAGAGACAGCCTCTGTTTCAGTGGGACTGGGGTCCAAACATTTCCATTCCTGTCTTGACTATACAATGTCGTGGTTTCATTCATAAGTACTTAGAATAGATATCACTTATTAAACACCAATGACATGCTGTATCAGAACAAGTACTTTAGAAGCACTACCTCTGATTCCCTCGTCTTCAAGGGCTCTGGATTCTTGTCCCCATTTCACAGGTGAAGAAAGAGTGGTTCAGAGTGGTTTCGAGACCTGTCCCAGAAAGCTGGTGCAGGCAGGCAGGCTTCTCTATTGTCTATGTTAGGAAATTTGACTGTAAGTCCCAACAGTGAATCTCCAGGCCCACAGACATTTTGGGGACCCAGACCTTGATTCCGACTCTGTGGAAGTCAGAGTGTTGCATCATCCAAAGAATCCCGCGTCCTGCAGCCAGGCGTTGCATGCTCTCCGCCTCTCGGGGCTGCCTAGCGTGCTCTTTTCATTTTTCCCTCCCTGAGGCTTGGTGTTTTTCCCCCAAACGCATGACTTAGAAAACCACTCCCCCTCATTCATCAAGGCCTGCCTGAAAGGCCAGCTGCCCTTGCTCCCAGCCATCTGACCACGTTCCCTCTCTGCACAAAGGTGACTGGCCCAGCCGCAGTCTGAGCCGACTGACCTTCTCCGCCTCTGGCTCACAAACAGCTTGCCAAGCGCTTTCAGCCAAGCGCAGGACAATTTACAACTAGAATGGGGGCTGTCACGGTGCCTTTGATGCCTCGATCAGGGCCCGGGCTCATTCATCACCAGCCTGGGAAAGCTGCAGGGGCCCCCATGCTAAGGGCTGCTTCCATCTCCAGGCTGGCCCGAGAGCCTGCAGGACCCCTGCGACCCACGAGGGCAGCAGGGGGCCGGGCATGCAGCCACCTGCCTCCAACCCACTGGGTGCTGGCACCCTCTCCCTCTCTTCCACCTGCTCTCCCAAACTCCCCGGCAGGGACCACGCCAAAAGCCCTGAAGAAGGAATAAATATTCAGGGATGCGTGTTGTCAGAGCTGGTGGCACCACCAGTCCTGTTCTGTTTGGTTTGGACCCACCTGTGTGCTCCGGCATGGTGGAAATGGGGAAGGTGGTAAGGATTGGTGGCAGGCAATACTGGGTCAGGTTTCCCAGCCCCTGAAGTTTGCAAATGAGGCTGGGTTTCTGGAAGAAAGATTTCCATCTCCTGAGGCTGCAGAGGAAGGGGCCCTTTTTTTGCCCCTCTTCAGATCCTGGCTTTCACAGGATGCCTGCGTGTTGGAAAACCCAGAAGTGGGACTTGAACACTGTTTAGAGTTACCTTCAGTAATCAGTACAATTAGTCTAGTGGGGGGGAGCAGTTCCTGAAGCTAGAACAGAGATTGCCATGTGCAATCTGGGAACTTTGGGAGGCGGAGGGACTTCTCCAGCTGACAGGCAGGGAGCCAGTGGGGTAAATACCCTGACTTGACTCTCCCCTTCATTCTAGAGCTTCCCACTGGCCAACCAGAAGCTGCAGGGCAGGGGAGCCAATTGATATCCATATAGGTCATATCCATACTCCTAGGGCATGGAGCAGGGTGGGGAAATCTGGAAGCTGGATCTGAAGGGGCAAATAGGGCCCATCCAAACAGGTTTAACTGTTTTGCTATCTGACTCCAGGCCACACTGATTTTTAGCTTCGTGCTGGGGAACGCCAATTGAGAAAACAGGGAGACACTCATAAGCATAATAAAGGAATTTATAGTTCTATTGCTAACCCTCAACAATCTTTGTCCTTTGTCCTAGGGTCCTTTGCAGCTACTATGGATTAGCTCTGTGTCCAAAGTCACCTAGAGCTTAAAAGTGACCTTGCAGAACCTGTCAAAGGCGACCTCAGAGGAAGACTCTCTCCATGGGGACATCTGAAAGGGGGACCAGCTCTGGTCTTGAGCCTTGTTCCAGATGCAGGCACGCTCTCAGCCAGCGTCACTGTGGAGGTGCCCTCCCACCAACAAGGAGCCACCTTCACGGTCCCGAGAAACTGGAGACTAGCAAGTAGGAAGCCACAGAGATGAAACCAACCCTGGGAACGACTCGTGTGGCATTTAGACAAAAGAGCTAGTAGAGAGTGCTGTTCGCCAAAAGGCGTATTAACACAGAATCACGAGGGACTTTAAGTAACACTCAAGAGGTTGTGACACGAAGAATAGGTCAAAATGTACAAAATAACTTGTTTCTGCGTTTTTTTCCCCTTTTGGTTGCCTTTGGTTTCCCGGCAATTAAGTTGTGTAAGGTGAATTAGATGTTTTGTTTTGTTTTAAGTAAATACGTGGTGTGATTTATTCCTATTACTGGTGGCGTGTTTCTTGGGGAGCTCCCGGCTACTAATCCTAAGTCTCAAGTCTCTATTATAATGCTAACTAACAGCACTGTCTTGCCACCAGTGGCAATAAAGAAAAGGCACAGTACCCAGAGGGTCTCCGTGGTACGTTTCATGAACAAAGATGAACATGCTATAGGAGAGAGCAAAATAAAAAAATATATATATTATGTATTTTTTGCCAGAGTACAAAAGTGCAGAAGGGAAACAAGGAAAAGGGAAGAAAATGAAGAGAGGAAAGAGAAAAGGAGCAAGAAAGGAAAACCAATCTCCAAAATCGGACAGCTCAGGTGGGCTTCTGTTATTGAAGCATGTCCTGGATGCTCACGATTCTTCGGTTCCTGCCAGAGAAGCCAAAAAGTCAAGGCCCACTGAGCACTGAGGAGGGGGGCACCCTGCATGTGAATATACCTGAAGGTGGTCTTGGTGCACATGGCCGGGTTGTCATTAATGTCCTCTACGATGAAGGTTATCTGCATGCGATTCTCTTGACCCCCCGAGGGTCTGTCCTTCACCAGAACTTCCAGAGAAATGGAGGGATTTTGTCTTAATTCACCTGCATCTCGGTCTAGCCTGTGGGCCACTTGGATCGTACCGGTCACTAAAAAGGCAAAGGTGAGAACACAACTCTTTGGAGACTTGGAGGCAATTGGAAAGATCATTCTGGTGTGAGGACTGGCTTATTTTTTTTTTTCTCTCTTGCCTGGTTTGGCTTGCCTTCATTTCTGTTACTTGCAACCAGAGTCTTAAGTTGTTCCAAAAAACCACTGCATTTCTTAAAAGTTACATTTGCAACACTAGAGTGAACAGAATTCTAAACCATGGTTGTCCATCCTTACACCATTAGCTGAGTGAGGTCCTTGATGACAGGACACTAGCAAGTGCTCAGAGATAGAGCACAATTATTGCCTTAGCCTGCCTCTCCTGGGACCAGGCATCCTTTGCCATAAAGCCAATGGGGCAAATAACACATTGTTTTTCTGGGATTGTCCGATGCTGGCCTCCACGAAGTCATCATGTAAAGTGAAGTCCTTCAGAAGGATGTGATAGGAACTTACAAGGTGGTATCACCTAGGAGTGGTCGCTGGGGTCGCAGTCTTTGGTTTCAATCTGCTTCACACCCACAAGCTGTGAGGCCTTGGACAAGTCATTTACCCTGTCCAAGTCTCTCTCTAAGCCTTAGTTCCCTCATCTATAAAGTGTGGATTACAATAGTTCGCTGGGTTGTTGTGCTCGGTATTTAAAATGGAATACATGCAGATCACTTAGTATAGCACCTGGTATATGCTAAGACCCCAATAAAAGATGGGTGTTCTAGGAGGGGGAAACTCTCCTTTTTGCACCAACATACTTAGATGGGAAGATAACTCCCAGCAGCCCAGGAGATTGCTCTAGATTGATGTAGTCCAGTATGGTAACCTCTAGCCACACGTGGCTATTCAGCACTTGAAATTGTGGCTGGTCCAAATTGAGATGTGTGGTAAATAAAAAATACACAGCAAACTTCAAAGACTTGGTACAATAAATGGTAACATCAAATACATCATTAATAACTTTAAGATATTGGTTACACGTTCATGACAATATTTTGGACGTGTTGGGATAACTAAGATGCCTTACTGAAGTTAATTTCACCTGTTTCCTGTTACTTTTTAAAAATGTGGCTACTAGACTTTAAAATTACATACGTGGCTCCCGCCCTATTTATTTTTGGTCAGTGCTGGTCTGGATCCTCTTTTTGGAAGACTTCCAGGTACACTCAGGATAGTGAACTCATCCATTGTTAGATAGCCACCTGCTTCAAAGGTGAAGGAGTGATATAGTTCGTCACCTTGGGACCCTGTCCAGTTTCCCCGAGCCCTAAGTCAGCTGCTTTTAATGCATCTATTACCCTAGTAAGTTATGATACTCCAGACAGAAAGGCATGCCCCAGAAGAGAAGACAGATAAAAATATTTGTGAAAGAATCCAAATGGCTGAATTAAAGGATGCACGGAAGGGTGTGTGTGTGTGTGTGTGTGTGTGACTTACACTGGTTGATCACGAAATAGCGGTTAGGGGTCGTGATGCTGTAGAGGAGGAAGCCGGTAAAACCTTTATCATCAGGGTCCTCCGCTGTGATGTTGGCCACAATGGTGCCTGAAACCAGCTCCTCGGGAATCGTGTACACTCGCGCCGGGCTGGAGCAGAAATACAGCAGACACAGCTCATTTTCAGGGGCACGGGAGGGTGGAGTCGGCGAGGTGGGTATTTTGGTTAGTGCTAAATATAGCACTGAGCTTCTGAAGTTGCATCCACACGCTCCAAGAAAGCAGTCAGCAGCTGAAAGGAGGGGGGAACCGGCTTTTGTGTTTCCAAAGATCATGTCCCTGCAGATGCCACCATGTACAGTGGCCTCGGCTCTGACTCCGCACACGCCTGACACCGATTCAGATCGGCCTGGGCGTTCACATCTCTGATCATCAGGATACTCGGCCTATCCAGCCATCTTCTCTCCCTCTCCAGTTCTTGTGCAAAAGCTCCCTGAGTGATTTTAAAAATCCATCTGGACAGGGGCGCCTGGGTGGCTCAGTCGGTTGGGCAACTGCCTTCGGCTCAGTTCATGGTCCCGGGGTCCTGGGATCAAGCCCCACATCGGGCTCCCTGCTCAGAGGAGAGCCTGCTTCTCCCTCTCCCTCTGCTCCTCCCCCTTCTTGTGCACGTGCGCTCTCTCTCTCTCTCTCAAATAAATAAATAAAATCTTTACAAAAAAATCCATCTGGACACAGTTTCCTGGCTCCCATCCCCCGGCTGCCACCAGACACTATGGTAATAAACTATAAATACGTTTTATTTCTTCGTTGTCTTTTTAGTTTTGTTCTGTTTTGCCTGCGGAAGCAGAATTTACGCAGAGAACTTGTACACCCTCCTGAGTGGCATTTATCACAAGGTCAGCTGTCTGAACAGAGAAGTTAAGGTCACTGCCCTCCAAGGATGCCCTCTTACAAGAGAACCCCAAATCACCAACTTACCCATCCTCCTCAGGCCTCCACTGCTTTGGGAACAGGCTGATAACAAGGCAGAGAGGTTCGAAGTTTTAACCACACAACTTGGGTAAAATGAGTAATTTTGCCTGCACCAAGGGAGGCTTATTGTTTAGAATAACCCTGCAGGAAATCCTTCTGCTGAGGGAAAATCATTTCAGTGGGGAAAATCATCACCCTCTGATTTACCAGTTTCCTAAGCTTGGATTTTCCCTTCCTTAAGAGGGGAACATTATATCTCAGGTCTAAATGATCACATTCGTTTTGTGAGCTCAGAATCTTTCTGCAGTTCTGTCTCATCCTCCTCACAGGGTAGAGGGGACCAGAGGGAAGAGAAAGGAGGGGGAGAGGGGACATCCAGCTAACATCAGACAGAGACAGGCAGCGAGAGGCTGCAACCAGGCCCTCGCTCACCGGGGCTCCTGCCTGGGGCATGGGTCTGCCCCCCATTCCTGAGGTGACTTCCTGTCAGTGCGTTCTATTGGGGGGACACTAATCTTGTTCACGCTGAGAGGCCACCCCAGTGCTCTGTGCCTCTCCCCACCCAGGTCCTCACTGAGACTGCCCATTGATCCACTTACTTGCCTGACCCCTTTCTCGGTGAATCTGGGCTGCAGCCCACCGAGGGGCAGGAATAGACAAAGCAAGGGTGAGCCAAGGAGGCAGAGGTGGCAGGAACCAAACCCAGACCCGGAGGAGAGAGGGACGTAGCCCCAGCTCCCAGAGCCAGACTCAGCCCTTGCGTCCGTTATGTGAGAGCCTCTGTTTCTAACATATTCTATTTTTTTTCTTTGGTTACTTTGAATGGGTTCCGTTAACTTCGAACAAAGAGATTGCTATACCTTCACCCCTTAGCCAAGCTACTCTGAGTGTGGTCCCGCCATGTTTCACAGGCCCCCTGGAGGTTCTGGATCTGAACGCAGAACTCAGGCCAGCTCCAGACCGCCGAATCGAGATCCGCGTTTCCCCAAGATGACCAAGGGATTTTGTATGCACTTTAAAGTTTGAGAAGAGCTCCTATAAGGAATCACCAGAGGTGACAACCACAGATACCCAGGCTGTCATAGGACAGAGGACACCTTGGGTGGAGAATCCCCTTCTTCCAAGATAGTGCTTCTCAGCTGGGGGTGATTATGTTGTTTGTCACAAGTGGAGACAGGGGCTGCTACTGGTCTTTAGGGGTAGAGCCCAGGGATGCAGCTACACCCCCTACAGCGCAGGGGTCAGCGCCCACCACAAGGAATGTCCACAGTGCACTGCTTAAGGCACCCCGTTCTGCAGGCTTATCTGCCCCCCTGCCCCGGGCGCACCAGGAAATCAGGTCTCCATGAAGGGGACCAGACCAGTCAGGCTATTGGTGAGTGCATAGCTCCTCGGGTATACCATTCTCTCCTTGGCTTACCTGATATTGAGCCTGGCAGAAAGCAAAAAAATCTTCGGTTTATTTGGTCTGGGGACCCAAGACCCAAGTGTGTATAAAATACCCTTTAACATAAAGGTGTGACCCTCAGCCCACAGTTAAGATCTATTCAGCCAGGGGCTCTGCAGTCACCCGACAGGGTCAAGCTCTGATATCACTTACATCCCCGTCCCCCGCTCCGCCTCTTCCCTACTGCCCCCCCCATAACACCGGATTACCAGGGCCCAGGTAAGGGGGAGTCAAGGGCCAGGGGCCACATTCATGGGGAAGGGCATAAATCCCAGAGGATGGCTTCAGTGTTACGGATGAGTATGCAGTAGGTGCATAAAAGTGTGTATGCATTGCAAGGCACCAGGTTGAAAAGGATGGCGGGTAAATACAAAAGAAACAGGCAGTGGGAGAGAGACTGCTCAAGTCTAAGGTAAAGTGCCCTGCCAAACCAGCAAGCATTGTGCTTGCTACGTAGAGAGTAAATATAAGTCAAGTACTTTTATAATAAGGTGCTCGACCGTAATAATAGCAGAATCCTCGAGTACACATCGGGAGTCCACAAAGCATTCAGATGTTTGCCACCACCCAGGGATAAAATGGTGAGCTCTCGACAACAGAAATAGCACTCGCTTTGGTTGTATTAATTGTAGGACTTTACCAACTAGTAAAGATAGAAGAGTTGTTTCCACATTCTGCAACTTTGCTTCACCCTCAAACTCAGTATAGCTGAATCAGTCTGAGGGTTTAATTGCATTAATTCTGAATTAAAGAATTTATGGTTCGTCCTGACACTGATTTGGAAGGAAAAGAAAGATCATGGCTCGAGGGAACCATGAAAGCCCTTAAAGTCAGTACCTACTTTGAAACCGTGCAGACTCTTACAAACTGTGGTGGCTGAGGGACGAGGTCGACTCTAATCTGGATGAAGTCAGGGCAGCCCCTCTGCCCCAGTCCTTCCAGGGACAGGCTCTTGCAGACCCATCCCTGCCAACATCCATGGGTCGCTGCTTGACATAAAGCCCAATGACTTGTTATGAAATGGTTAAACGGTCACACAGACCACCTCTCTGGCATGGAGCCTAACGGGATAATTTCTCAAACCAAAAAGGAGAAACAGAGTTCCAGACCTATCTCTGGGGGCCCCAGCAACCAGCCGAGGCCATGTTCTCTTTTTGTGGAGGCCAACTGCTTTCTTTTGGAAGACGTCATCCAAACCAGGTGGTCTGCCCCTTGGGAGAACTTATTTTCCCCTTGGCAACCCCGTTAGCCTGCTTCTCCACCTCACAGACTGGAATGTGGGAGAGACATGGCAGACCGCACCGGCTCGCACGCAGCTGTCGCCTGCCCCTGGGGGTTACTGATGAGTCTGCATGGCTGTGCTGGCGAATACTTGAGTCTGAAACCAGGCTGGGATGTCCCAGCTATTTTTAAACTGCCCGTGCCGGGCTCCTGGAGGAACCGGTCAGCAGAAGTGCATTGCACCATCCTTCCGAGCTTCGCCTGGCCACGGGGCTCGCTGGGAAGCATGGTGTGGGAGTGTACCTGCTGTTCCTCCCTCCACGTGGACACCCAGCCACTGGGCTGGAGACCGTGCACATCCGGAAGTTTCACAGCTGTGCTGGGTTTTGCCAAACGGTGCCAGCTTAGCCTGTGAATTTTGCAAGCATTCAACGTGGTTCTGGGGCCCGGGGGCTTTCTGTCAGTGGAGTCTCCTGAGCTGGATTTATTCACAGCCACAAAAGCAGTTACTATCGCTTACCAGGCAGGTGATTTTGCTGGTTGGCTCTGGCTGGCTCCTGAGCCCACCTCAGCAGCTGGGGCAGGGGGAGTCTGGTAACCAGGAAGCCGGGCTGTTTGCAGGGTTGTTTGCCAGCTCAGAATCTCATCTTCCCCTCCGAAATCCCGATCTATAACAGGCTTGGCTCTGCTCTTTGTGCCTGGGCCTGTGCCAGGCCCATTCCCACAGGCTACCTCACCTCCGCTGGATGTAGGAGTTGCCAGACACAACCACCTCTCTTTTCTGGACCCACCATGGCAGAAAGAAATCTAGAACACCCCGCAGCAGGCAGGCCTCTTAGGCATCATCGAAAGAGACCCCTCCTCCGTCAGAGAGCACACCAATCTGAGAGTGGGCTTAGAGAGCCTTGACTAATGGTGCATGCCCTAGGGTTTTGCTATTATTCACGCTGAACACTCTATTATAGCAGTACCTCTATTATAACAGCGTATTTACCTTCTACACAGGCCCAACGGCCAGCCCCGCACCAGGGGCGTCGTGTCCGGCCCCGCTCCCCACTCCCCCCACCCACCCCTGCCCCGTACCCACCATCCCCTGGTGCAGGGGAAAGGGGAGCGAAGCTGGTGGTGGAGGGACATCCGGAGGCTCAGAGAAAGGCCGCTGAAGATCTCAGGCCTCTTGGCTCTCCTCCGGGCCAGGGCAAAGGGCATCCCTCTGTGTTGTATTAAATGCGTCTGAGAAAGCCGGGCCACCCAGGAGAGATGACGGCTGCGGCCCAAGGAGCCCGGCTCGCCCTCAGGCCTACCTGGTAAAGCGAGGCATTTCGTCGTTGACATTCACAATGTTCACCCAGAGCGTTGTGGAGGCTTCAAGCCCTTGGCTATCTCTCACTCCTGCAACCAGATGGAAACTGTCGGGGAAACCCCCCGCCCCCGAGTGAGGGACTCAGGCTTTGCTGACACTACCTCAAAAAGGAGTGGGGGAAAATGGGCTGGGGGGAGGGAGGGAAGGGTCTGCCCCTTTCTGGCCACCCTCCTTCAGATGCACACGCCAAGTCAGAGCTGCCGTGTAGACCCTTCCTTCCTCGTCTCTGCAAACCCACCCCTCCCCTTCTCTCTCCCCCCATAGTTGTTATTCCTGGCCACCATCTCCCCTAGGGGCTGCTCACGTCCGCCATGTTGCACACCCTGTCTCTGGCCTTCCTCACAGTACCGCTGCGGACGTGTATTACGCCCACGTGAGGAGACAAAGGCTCCCAGGGATTGAGGAACTAGCCTGGTGAGGTGAGCAGCCAAGGTCACCCTGTGTGTTTTTATCCTCAAACCTTGGTCTCTCCTCACCTCTTTCCTCAGCCACCTGCTCGCCTCCCCCCTGCTGCTCTGATGTTAGCAAGTGGCTCCGACAGGTGCTTCTCCCACGCCAGAAAGTCACCTGAGGCAATTCTCCAGATTCCTGGGGACACTTCTCCCATCCCTCCATTCTTATTATGTGGAGATGAAGATTTGGGACGGGGAAGGAGGCCTTCCAGATAATTGCCTTAGTCCCTCTTCTTTCTGGGGGGCTCACTACCCTCTGAACTCAGCAGGAAGGCAGCAAACCGCTCGGGGCCTCGCTCGCGGCCCCAGGCTGCACCACGCCTGCTCCTTGACCCTCAGATAGACAGTACTTCAAGCAAGGTCATTGGCAAAGCCTACCTTTTGTGTCCTGCTTCAAAGTCAAATTCTGTTGTAGAGAAGAGGGCCCCATTAGCAGACATTCTGAAGTTCACTGAGCGGAAGATCAGGAAATACTAAAAAACAAGGGGAAAAAAAGAATGTAACTGAGAGTACCTATTCCTCTTTCCCTGGGAGACTGGTTTGTGCCATTCCCGTTTTATATGCTTGGCCCATGGAACATCCTTGATGCATCGGGATGAAGCCCAATGCATAGTTTTCAGGCTTAATGGTTCTTGAAGCAAGAAAGTTCTGGATCTGCTGGCCTGAGCCTCTGACCCGAGAAGCCACACGCTGAGGAGTTGGTAGCTGGATCCAGCAGGCTTCAACGACAGAGCGAGGGTGAAGGCGCCCTGTCTAGGCGCTCTGCTTCTGAGCCCAGTCCCCTTCTCCTTGTCAGCATGTTCTCACTTGTGCTTCTTAGGATGATGTCTGGGGGTTGAGTCTAGGTCTTGGCTTTGACTCACACTATTTAAACAGGGCTACCGTGCATTAGGCGATAGGACGATACTAGCAAAAATAAGATCTGGTCTCTACCCTTGAAAAAACTTATGATATAGGAGGGTGCAAAAATGTTCACAAACATCATTCGCTGACGTGATGGCCGGGGAAAGGAAAGGGACAGGTACGAGAGAGAAGAAACTTAGCAGGGCCTCGAGTACAAGTTGGAAGCTGGTTTGGAGTTACAAGGGCTTAGTTGTAGAATCTGATCTCAGGTTTATGGCCACTGGTGAAGCTTTTCTGTATCTTGGGGGTGTTGAGAATCTAATCCTTTATGGCTCCCAGTGCCCAGCCCGGCTCTCGTAATGACCCCTTGCCTGGCCCCACTTGCTCTGAAGGGAACACGGGCTTACACGCACAGCCCCCTGAGGGCATCCCCTGGGGGGACCAACCCTGTGCTATCCGTGGGTGCTCATCAAGACTGCTTCCTCGTGGCCATGAGGATGTCAACGAAGCAGGTGAAGGACCTGGATCAGAAGAGCTGAGTCCAAGTTCTGGTCCTCACCACAGGACCTGGGACAAGCCCCTTCCTTGCCTGTAATATACAGACGATACCACCAACTGCTCCTCCATGTTACTGTGAGGATTACATCAGAAGGCACGCTGGAAAAGGCGAAGCACCACAGCAACACGCAAGGTTTACGTGTTTATAGCCATTTGTTCCAAAGGGCTTTAAGGTTTGAAGGTTTCGTTATTTCCTACTAGGATGAGAGATGATCTATCCTCAAGGCCTTAGATCTCTGGATCAGATAATCAGTGGAGATTTTGCAATGGGAGCCACAGCCCCTGAAGTCTAGAATCAAAGGAAATGCCAGCCAAGGCTTCCAACCCAGCGATTTGCTATGTTGTGTGATCGCAGCTAAGCTCCCCACAGCAGAAGAGAGAATACACAGAAAATAGATTAATGATCTCATTTGGGGCCATTATAAGGTTTTTAACCATTTTGCTAATTGTAATAAAACATACTTTTACACACAAATTAGGAAAGACAGAAAAATATAAAAAAGAAACTCAAGATTAGTCACCTATAAAATCTTACGATTTTCACAAAGAGCCCCCTGTTCTTTTCTATGCACACGTATACCCTCCAAAAAAAAATTGAGATGATACCCTAGTCAAAATTACATTCTCTTCGTTCTTTGCCTTTGTGCTTGAGCATTTCCCCATATTCTTAACTCTTACCTTACCGCCTGGTTGGTTAATGATGGCACAGCTTTCTACTGTAGGGCTTACTTTACTAGGTCTTTCTTGCTGGTCACTTAAGTGGTTCTTACCCATTTTTAAGGGGGAATATTTGGGCAACAGCAAGGAACACCCTTCTTCCAGCCCCTCCAAATTGTATGAACAGCGTGGCAGCACTCAAAGGTACAAGGTTTAAGTCCCAAGGCCCCCCACCGTCTCCCCAGCTCACAGCCTGGGCAGCAGCTGCCTATATACACAGAGCTGTTCTGTGCCTTTGAGCTGAGCCTTCCCTGCAGAGAATCCTCACATATCCATAGATCGGAGGCTCAAGCTGGATGTGCTGGAATGGCAGGGTTTATAGACCCATGGGGGGCATTTGCTACATGCCCCTGGATCGGGATGCCTTTCCAGTGTGTTTAATGCTCTAGGAGACAGGTCCTCAGTTCTGGTTAGTCTCAAACAGGAGAAAGCCTCTGGCCACAGAGGTGACAGACAGACCCTGCTCTCCAAAAGCTGATGGGCAACTGACAGAACATACAAGGAAAATGTGGGAGACCTGCTCAGAGGGAGACTACACAGGATATGATGGGAATGGAGAAGGGGGACTTAGCCCCATCTAGAATAGAAGAGTCACGAATGGGGGTGGCTGAGTCAAGTGCGGTGGCTCTGGAGCCAGACTGCTGAGTCTGATTCCTGGTTCTACTATTTTGCAGCTGCGAGAGCTTGTGCAACAAAAAGTAATAATAACAGCGCTTGCCCAAGGGGTTATCCCTTAAAGTTCTAGAACAGTGCCTGGCACATGGTAAGTCCTCAATCTAGGTTAACTGCCCCTGTGGATTAGAGTGTAAGATCCATGAGGGAAAGGGCTTCATTTTACTCGTTACTACATCTCTAGTGCCTAACACATAATAGATGCTCAATAAATATTTTTCTCAATCAATACATATTCATTAAATGTTAAATTTTGGGGTTTTCTTCTTGCCTATTTCCCATCGGAGACCAACATTCCCACCTTAAAGAATCTTAAAACAAAACAAAAAGGCAACAACAACGAAAATCTTGCCTAATTAAAAAAAAAAAAACCAATCTGTTTTACTTTGGTAAGGCGAGGCTGGATTATGAAGTCTCCCCCAGCTCCGCCTACATCCCAGCGAGCAAGAAAAACGAAACGGCAGCCGACAGAAAGGGTGCACGGCTGTAGACTAAGGAACATGGAGAATTTCTTTTTCATTTTTATTAAGAGGCTGATTTCCTGGAATCCTGATTTTTTTTCTTTTAACACCAGGCTAATTTCCTTATCCCTGAACCTACGAGCCTGTGTTAATGGGAATAGCAGTTTTGTACTCAGAAAGGAGATAATATCCATAGACTAAAAATATTGTGTCATGTGGCCATTTGCCAGCAACTCGGGAAAGCTTTCTGTAAAACCTGGCATTCTCTTCCCTTTTTAAAGGCTTGTTTAATCAAAGCTGCTCCCTTGATATTCATTCTTGGAAAACAGAAATTAAATAGAATGAGAAGCCGCTGCAGCCCCTCTCTGAGCCACCACCAGCTAAGAAAAGTCCTGAGTAATCAGATCAGTTCGGTTCACAAATGCTTGTCAGACAAGCGCCGGAGCGTCCCCGCTGGGAATATTCCTTTACTGCCACCCCAGGTCTCTCTATTTGCAGCCCCTTTTGCCAGCTACAGTTTGCTCAGGGACACAAAGCCTTCAGGGTGGAAGACAACAGAGCCTGAGCTTCCTGCCCCGTTCCGCCTTTATCGTGTTGCTAGTGTCAGGAGAAAGGAGGGTGAAGAGGAAGTTGGCCCAGTTTCCTGAAATGTCAGGCTCCCTGGGGGAGAGCACGCCACCTCAGCGGGGCTTGCTCGCTGCAGCCCGAGCCACAGGCAAATCGTGATCCGACCTGTGCCGGTTGGCAGCCATCTGTGGCTTTCAGGCCTGCTGCGGAATCAAGCGACAAGAATTCAGCCTCCAGTCTCCCAAGAACAGAGCTGTCGACTTCCAGGGGCCAAGTTTCCAGGGGGAAGGAAGGACCTTTATTCCTCCCAAGGCCAGGAGTGCCAGTGGCTCAGCAAGCCCCCAAGATCATGCCCCCAAACCCCCACGCCAGGAGAATCCACAGCACACACCATCGTCTTCCAGTAAATACGAGGCTACGTTCCCACGGCATTTCTTCAGTGCAAGGTGAATATTTTACAAAAGTCTTGATTCCTCTTTCTTCCCCTGACCCATCTCTATCCCAGCTCAGACATAGGTGGTGGGGGACAGAAGTATGAGGGAAGGGTGCCTGGGAGAAAGAAAAAAAAAAACCCTAAAAAAATCCTACTGCAGCCCTTAACTTGGCTTGGCTTGTGCAGTATTGTTATGAGGGTGAGCTAAGTGGGTGATAGGCAAGCATTTGAATGTTTTTAAGAAGAGCCACATTTACAAATGAAAAATGCTATGGGTATGTAATCCTTTACTGGTAAAGCTACCAAGGATTCGACCCTCTCATACTTTCTCATTCCTTTTCCATAATCAGCCGGGGTTCTATTCTCTGATTCAGGCTTCACCAATCTTTTTTTTTTTTTTAAAGATTTTATTTATTTGAGAGAGAGAGAATGAGAGATAGAGAGCACGAGAGGGAAGAGGGTCAGAGGGAGAAGCAGACCCCCCGCTGAGCAGGGAGCCCGATGCGGGACTCGATCCGGGGACTCCAGGATCATGACCTGAGCCGAAGGCAGTCGCTTAACCAACTGAGCCACCCAGGCGCCCCAGGCTTCACCAATCTTAAGAACAACACTCACCATCTATTTGAGGAAGTGTCTCTCCCAACATATGAACAGTCATCAAGGGTGATGTATTGTGGTACGGGAATTGTCCAAAACCACTGCTTTTTCCTTTCCTGAGCATTTTAACAAGAAGAACCTGGAGTAGAACGCGTTTTGCAAGGACTCCTGAGTTAGCAGACAGATGTCATGGGACATTGAACAAGTGATGTGCATCTGCATGTATGTGTGTGCGTGTGTGCGTGGGTGTGTGTGTGGTGGGGGGAGAGACATGTGGGGAGCAGGAAGAGTGCTGTTACTCAGGAAATCAAGGGGACACCAAGAACAGAATTTGCCAGAACAAGGTAGAAGGGAAGGAGCAGGGTTTGGGCCAGGAGACCTCGGTTCCCACTGGAGTTCCAGGGCCCAGGTAATGGCCTCAGCTTCTTCCCTCATCCGGAAACAAGGGGCTGCTCAATGCACCTGAAAAGTCCCATCCAGCCAGCACCAGCAAAAAAGACCACTTTATTCCCAGGAAGAGGGAAAGTACAGCTTGCCACCACGTCTCAGAGCCGTGCGCAAGACGGAGGTAGGGAGAGGCTGACTTCCCCTGTCACCCTCCTGGTAGCCCAGCTAGTAGCAAGGT